ATATATAACATATGTTATTATATGTTATATACATAATGTTTTATTATGTTAGTCTATAGCATATATGTGATATTATAACACATAATACATATGTGATGTATGGTACATATACTCTATACAGCATTATATATAACATACATGATAGTATATATGTGTTACATATGTTATATATAACATATTACACATATGACAGATATAGAATAATATATAATATATAACATTGTGTATTATCTAAACCAGATGATGTTATTTTTCTACTCAGACTCTAGTTTACCTCCTTAATATAGGACATACAGTGACTACAGAACAAGTGGTACCAGTACCTTGAAATGTTGGACTATCAAGTGCAAAATGTGTACTAGCTGGGGCACTGTGTGACCTTCCTCCACAATGATTTTTCGCGTCCAGTGAGTGAGCATCTGGTGCCCATCCTCCATGCGGGCCGGCACAGCCGGGGTCAAGATGGCCATGGCCTGCCGCACAATGGCTCTGGCCTCCATGGCGTGAGCCTTCAGGAGACTGTGAAACACCTGAACAGCAAAGGTTCTGATCAACAGGAATACTGTACAGACTTACAAAATCAAAGGATTTGTAAAGAAAGAGAATATACAACACGGTTTCTAAAAACCACATTTACCTAAAGGCCCATCATTTGTTAAACATGTGATCATACATCAGCATACACAGCATATATTTCTGCTTCCTGTACATTCCCTTTCCTTCCTCCCTCTCCACTGTCCAATTTGAGGTTTTCCCTTGGCACCACACTTTGTCTCAACTGTCTCTCCCTTAAATGAAGGAACATTACCAATTCTGTTAATTAAACCAACAGAACTTTGCCTTGTCCCATTTACCCTTCCAGTTATCACTTATCGTCCAACCTTTTTTTTAATCCTCTCTTATCCCCAAAGAGATTTGTATTAACACTTTGGCCTGATGCTTCTCTATTTGCTTGTGGCATTTGAACCAAACTATATTCAAAGCTACTGTGCAGCTTCTGCTTTGAATCTTAGAGTAAAAGAAAGACTGACAGAATCACATAGCTCAGGTTGGAAGGGACCACAACGGGTCATCTGGTCCCACCTCTCTGCTCAAGCAGGGCCATCCCAGAGTACATGGCTCAAGGTTGTGTTCAGAAGGTTCTGGAATATCCCCAGTGAGGGAGAATTCATGACCTCTCTGGGCAATTTGTTCAATGCTCAGTGACTGCACAGGAAATAAGTTGTTCCTCATATTCAGGTGGAACTTCCTGTGCACTAGTTTCTCCCTGTTGCCTCTTGTATTATTGGCTTTCACCACTAAGCAGAGCCTGATCCATTCCCTTGGCAACCCCTTCAGACACTTGCATACATTAGTGAGGACCCGCTCAGTTGTCTCTTCTCAAGGCTGAACAGCCCCAGCTTCCTCAGCCCTTCCCCATCACTGAGGTGCTCCAGACCCTTCAGCATCTTTGTTGCCCTCTGCTGGACCTGCTCCAGGAGCTCCATGTCCCTCCGGTCGTGAGGAGCCCAGAACTGGACACAGTACTCCAGGTGTGACCTCACCAGAGCTGTGCAGAGGGACAGGATCACGTCCTTGACCTGCTGGTAATACTTTTCCTAATGCATCCCAGGATTTCATTGGCCTTCTAGGCCCCCAGGGCACACTGCTTGCTCAGGACAGCTTGTTGCCCACCAGGACTCCCAGGTCCTTCATAGAGCTGCTCTCCAGCAGGTCAATGCCCGATCTGTACGAGTGCTCAGGGGTATTCCTCCCTAAATGCAGGACTTGCCCTTGCCCTTACTGAATTTCAGCTGGTTCCTTACCCATCTCCCCAGCCCATCAAGGTCCCTCTGAAGTGCAGCGCAGCCCTCTGAGATATAAAGAACTTAGCAACATCACTTATAGGCATATGAATACAACCCCATGGGGCTATATACCTGCAGAACTATCTTCTTATGTATGGCAAACTTTGCAATGATGTGTGCCAGCAGCAGGTGGCCACTGTACTTGCAGGCTGGGTCCACACATGCCTTGGAGAGGAGACAAGGCCAGGCGAAGGTCATGAGCCGCCGCAGCTTGCTGTTGCGGTTCTTGTTGTTGTCGTGGATGTGGTGTGGGGCATGTTCCACCAGCAGCGTGGCAAACTGCAGTAGGTATATCCTCAGAGAGTCCAGCATATCAGCCTGTTTCTCTGGGTCAAGTACCTTGTTTCAGGGATGATCAAAGAGGAGAGAAGGAAAGTGAGGAAAAAACAAGTAAACAAAAACCCCACAACTTCTCTAATTAGAAAAGCAAAAGTCCTGAGCTTTTTGCTCTTTGAGTGGTTTATTAAGACAACTAAACCCCATCATTACTGTTTTGGCTCAGTTTAATACCCACAAAACAAGCTCCTAAAGTGTGAGTTTGTAAATAATAATCACATCTGGGAACTCCGAAAGTGTTGAGCTATAAAAATAAATAAAACCCCCAACCCTCATCAACAACAATTATTTTACACCTGCTAACTAGTTCAGAATTACAAAGATACTAATATTCATGGAAAGCCTTCCTTAGAGAAAGGACTGCGATTACAGCCATGTAAGGTCCACGTTTAAAGACAAGTATTCAAGGGAAGCTGCAGAGGGCCTGTGTTAGGAGCTGCAGTGATAGGACAAGGAGGAATGAGGAGAAATTTAAAAGGGGAAATGTACATTACATATCAGGAAGAAGTTTTTCCTGTGAGGGTGGTGAGACACTGGCACAGGTTGCCCAGGAAGGCTGTGGCTGCCCCAGCCCTGGCAGTGTTCACAGCCAGGTTGGCTAAAGCCTTGAGCAACCTGCTCTGGTGGGAGGTGTCCCTGCCCAGGGCAGGGGGTTGGGACTGGATGATCTCTAAGGTCCATTCCAACCCCTTAACAATTTATGAATCTCTAAATCCTGAAAATATCATAAACTGACAATAGGAGTCCAATTCTCCTGATGGATCTCACATTACGAAGTGATTTGATATAACTGATGATAGTATTTACAACAGCACAACTCATTCAAATCAGCATTAAAAACCAAATAAGAGGAACAACTTTTTGGGTTGATTTTCAAACACTTTAATGCAAACAAAGATTGTTACCTTGGTTATAAAAACACTAGTGATGCTTTCTGGATTATCTCCTTCTGGGTTTGGGGGGCCTAAGAGCTGTTCACCTTCTCCCTTTTCAAAACTGTACAAGAAGGCAGGATTCAGGATATGCTGCAGCACCTACAGAGTAAACAAGTTATACTGAACTATCATATTCTAGTGACAGCCAATATTTATGTGTTTTCCATAAATAAAACCATAATTAAAAGACACATATGGGGGTTTTTTGCCCCCTCTTTCTTCCTTGCAAGGGCAAAGATACTCAGAAAGTGCAAACTAAAGTGGTGAGCATTGAAAACAAGATGAATTGCTGTCTGTGTTTATTATCACTCTTCTTCAGGTGTGATATTTTCACCTAAATGGCTCTGCCAATTATCTAACTCACTGACATTTAAGTAAGGGAGTTTTGTTGCGCAAGTTCCCCAGAAGAAAATTAAACGTAAATACCAGGCTGCTTTCGTTGAATTGCCTTAGTTACCTTGGCTTTGAGCTCATCTCCAAAGTTTGGGTCATTGAAGTCTACGAAGCGGAAGAATAAGGCTCTTTTTTGGGGAATGCTGTAGTTTTTGGGGATCTCTTCCTCCATGTATTCCTTTAAGAAAGTCATATTGCAGAGGAACCGACCTGTGAAAGCTCGAAGCAACTGGAAAAGTAACTCTATGTCACCATAATTCCTCCTGTAAAAACACATCAAATACAAAGCTCCTGTGAAAACATACACTAACCACTGTGCTCACTGAACTCAACTTGGTTTGAAACAACAACTCCGTAGACAATAGGTTGTCCACAGGTACAGTGTGCCCTTGTGACTATGATGGCCAATGGAATCCTGAGGTGGATTAAGAAGTGTATCGCCCGCAGGTCAGGGAGGTGATCCTGTCCCTCTGCTCAGCCCTCGTGAGGCCACACCTGGAGAACTGTATCCAGTTCTGGGCTCCTCAGTGCTAGAGGGACATGGAGCTCCTGGACCATGAATGTGAAGTGCCAAGATGGATCAGACCCTGCTCAGTGGGGGAAATCAATAAAACAAGAGGTAACAGCAAAAATTGATGCCCAGGAAGTTCCACCTGAATACAAGAAAGAGCTTCTTTCCTGTGCAGTCTCTGAGCACTGAACAGATTGCCCAGAGAGGTCATGGATTCTCCCTCACTGGAGGTATTCAAGAACTGCTCTGGGATGGCCCTGCGTGAGCAGGTTGGAAGGGACCAGATGACACATTGTGGTCCCTTCTAACCTGACCCATTCTGTGTTTCTGTGAAACCAGCCGAGACAAGAGCAGGCAGTACCTGAGGCTTGGGTTGAGAGCAAATAGCAGTGCATGGAAATAGCTTACACTTTCTCTTCAGTAACTGCAGAACACTTTTAGTAGCCTTCCACACCTCTACAGGATTTTCAAGATTAAAAAATTATTTCTGTTAAGGTGTTCAGGCACTGGAATATTGCCCAAGGAGGTGGTGGCATTGCCATCCCTGGAAGTGTTTCAGAGGCATCTGGAGGCACTACAAGATATGGTTTAGGGGTCACAGTGCAGTGACAGGTTAATGGTTGGACTTGATGATCTTAGAGGTCTCCCCCAACCTTGATGATTCTATGATTCTAATGCATAGGAAATAACCATCTTTACATACTTGCAGTAATTCAATAAGCAATAAGCCAACAGCTTGGGCTCCTTCCAGTTCGTCGCAGCCATGTTCTCCTTACGGTGTCTCTCCTGGAAAGCTTCACTCACCCACACACGTTTCAGTTGATTCACCAAGGAGTGTTGATTTGCTAACCAACATTCATCATTCTTAACAATAATACTTATGATCTGTGCAAAGCAGAACAAGACAAATGCACAGTCAACATACTGTTGGTAGAAACAGTGATATAAAAACATTTCTTTAAGGTCAGTTAAGGGTTCTAAAATATGCAACAGCAAGAATAGGTTAGATTAGAATAAATGAATTCCTGTAAAAATTAAGTTTCTGTTGCCATGTTGGATCCTACTTGATAAATACTACAATTAATTTGTCTCTTTTTCCTTCTCAGAGTGACTTTGACTACAAATACTTCATGTTTTCACAAGCGTTTTCCTATGAGCTGTAACACAACACACACACACACACACACACTGAAAGCCTATGTATGAGGCTAAAGAGGTTTTAACTATCTAGTGCAGAGACAAACCAGAATAAATGAGTACCTTGATAGCCTGGAACTGCAGATCAAGTCTCATTGTGGTGGTGCTTGGAGAACCAGGTCTGACAGCTGTTTGGGTACCCACAGGTAACAGCAGAGTGATAAATCGGTTAGGATTAGCTGCCAGGACATCTCTCAAAGGCTTAGCATCTTTGTGTTTTAAGAAACTCTGAAAAAGGGGAAGAAATAATTTTAGTACCTTTGGAAAGCCAAAATACCAGAAGGTTAAATCATCCTGTGGCTTTTATAGTCCTCACTGAAGCTGCAGAGGATGTGTTTCACATAGATGAAAATAAACTCTACAACTTCAGTAACAGCCCTACATGTGCTGGAAAGGGATAAAAATCAACACTTCAGGACAAATCCAAACCCAGGAATAGGCACCCTACAGTCAGAGTAAGACCATGATTACGGACATGATTTGGGCCCCTCAGTTCAGAAAGGATACTGAGGTGCTGGAGCAGGTCCAGAAAAGAGCAACGAGGCTGGTGAAGGGACTGGAGCACAAGTGCCATGAGGAGAGGCTGAGGGAGCTGGGGGTGTTCAGCCTGGAGAAGAGGAGGCTCAGGGGAGATCCTGTCACCCTTTACAACTCCCTGACAGAAGGCTGGAGTCAGGTGGGGGTTGGTCTCTTCCCCCAGGCAACCAGCAGGACAAGAGGGCACAGACTCAAGCTCTGCCAGGGGAGGGTTAGGTTAGATATTAGGAAGAGATTTTTTACAGGGAGGCATTGGGATGTGCTGCCCGGGGAGGTGGTGGATTCACCATCCCTGGAGGTTTTCAAGATGAGACTGGATGTGGCACTTAGTGCCATGGGCTAGTAATGACGGTAGGGTTGGACTCAATCTTTGAGGCCTCTTCCAACCAGGCTGATTCTATGACTACAAGGTCATACAGGGGAAAAAAGACGGGAGAATGGAGTTTGAGGGCTTTTTCCGGCTCCCCTCCCCACACAGCTTACCATAAACATTCTGCTCCACTGTGGATCGTTCAGAGTGGCTTCCATCATGAACAGCTCCACAGTCTGGGATGGATGACGTGTCAAGAATTTGATCAGTGGTTCCCTGAATGGACTTCCAGCCTGAAAAATTCATAGAGCTTAACTTAAAAATGCAGAGTACAGAGGATTTTCTACTACTTTTGGCATTTATGCAGATACGAAGTGTCCAGAAGAGAATTTTTGAGAATTTATTGACAATTTCAGCACTTCATTTCTGAGAGTCTGACATATGTTAACACCCCCAAAAAGGCTTGAAGAGCTTATATATATTCATTTATTACATTCAATGTTCCCACACCATGGTTAAAATATTACAATTATTATATATAATTTATATATATACACATACATTAATTACAGTGCTTATTTTAAAAAATTATACTGATGCTTGAAAAAACTGTAAAGTAAAAATGCCAATGTTCACTTCCACTTTTACCTCAATTAACATTGCTCGTTCTGTTTTCATAACAACTTCCAGGAGAGGTTTAACCAGAGTCTGGGGAGCAGCTGGGATCAGGTGAAATAAATTGATAATTGCTGAACAAATCTTCATTTCCTATATGTAAAAAGAAATATGGTTAAATAAATATCACCAGTTATAATGGATAAAACAGTATCACATAGCTTATTTCTTCCCCATGTGCTCCAGCCCTTTCCTGCCCTCGTTAGCCTTGGCTGGACTCGCTCCAGTGCCTCAATGGCCTTTTGCAGTGATGGGCCCAAAGCTGAGCACAGTAGTGAGGTGTGACCTCCCCAGTCCCATGTCCAGGGGGATGATCACTGCCCTGGTCCTGCTGCCACACTGCTCTTGAGCCAGGTCAAGATGCCCTTGGCCTTCTTGGCCACCTGTGCACACTGTTGGCTCCCACTGAGCCGCTGCCACCAGCACTGCCAAGGCCCTTTGTGACCAACACCTCTCTTCCCACTCCTCCCCCAGCCTGGAGCTGCACGGGGCTGTGGTGTCCCAAGTGCAGGACCATTAGTGACCAGCATTAGTGACCCTCATGCAGTTGTCCTCAGCACACTGATGGAGTCAGTCCAGGTCTCTCTGTACAGTTTTCCTACTCTTCCCTACCTTCATGACTTAGGAAATTCTCCACAAATCCAACACAGTTTTGCCTTGTTTTTCATTGTGATTTAACTGGAGACTCTATTTCAGTTAGCTACAGTGTGGCTTTCCTTCAGTGGGAAAAGGTATAAACAAAACCAAACATCCACCCTCATCCTCTCTCCAAAACCAAGTCACAATGTGCAGTGTCCAAAAAGAGATTATCAAAGGCACTGCGTTTTCTCCAACTGCATTTAAACACAAAGGATTATGCCCCACTCCTTTAACATGGAGTTAGACAGACTGCCCCAAGATTGCTCTCATGGTTTGAAGTGCAGGACTGAGAACACTTCATGTAAGTGATTAGTAAAACATTAATAGAATGATGGGACTTGCAATCTACAGGAAACTCCACTGAAGCAGGAACTCCCCACAGTGCTCTATGGTTACGAGCACAAAGCAGTGACATTAGTCTGTACAACTTCCCATGTATAAGACAACAGATTAGCTTCATGCAGCTCAACATTGAGGCCACCAGGTTGGTTGGGAGAGAGAGTTTAATGCGATCTCAACTAGTAAATATTGAACTTGCATTTAATAAATTAAATTCAACTGGGATTATATTATTATGTATAACTTTCTGAACATCAAACATATTAGTGCAAAAAGAGGGATTATACTGCTGAGCTCATCAGCCATTCCAATGAAGAGCAGATTTCCAAGCAAAAGATCCTGAAGGGAATAAAAAATACAAGTCCTTGAGCTGTTCCCACACCAACCTGTATAGAACAGTCTTTCAAGTAAGCCTTGTCAGCAGGTAAGAAGTTCCTGTGACTAAGATTTCTATTTAATATAGATCTAAGTTCATTAGCTTGTAACAACACATCAGTGTGCAATCAGCAATGGCAACATTTACAACTGACTGAGCTCCAAAACATTAATACCACTTATTTCCTCTCTTCTCACATAAAAGCATCCATTAACTTACATTTCCATCACTCCTTTGTCCACCTTTGTGTGTGATAACTACAACTTCCATCCACTTACGCAGGTGTTGCTAGAAAGAGAGGATCATTAGTGTCTTTTAATTAGCCTGTTCCATTTTAGCATATGCTACAAGCAAAGAAGTAGAGGCAGAAATAATTCCTTGAAGGAAACAAAGGGAAAAATGATGAGTTCTTTTCATTCCTTCAGATTGAAGAGTTTACGGTTGCTAAAAGTCTTCTCTGTATTCAGCTAAGACACATTAAAGACATACAAACCTTCAGTTTTACACTTGTTTTATGATTTGCTTGATATGTAACGTCTTCAAATATCTAAATATCCCAGCCAAAAGGATAAAAGACTTCACACACACAGTTTTAAAAACTGCAAAAACACAGGGCAATACCTTCCAAAATGTTATAAATCAAGACAGCACCATACTGAGTCCATTAGGAAGACCATTTAAAACCTATTTTCACAGTGCTGGTCGGACCCTGCTTAAAGATCAATTTGTCCAAGCAAAAGTAGGTATGTCTTGACTAAAAAATAACATCTTTCAACTTTCTGGATTAGTAATTCTTAGAAATTAATTCCAAATGTTTAATGAATGTTTCTTTTCATTAATTGTGAAACAAAAATCTTTGGCTTCCAACATATACATCAAATCACTACTGAACTGTTCTTCAACTTCTCACCAATACAAATAGGAGCTAGAAGATTATTTCTTCTGGAAGAGCTAAACTAAAAAACTTGACTGGGCTTACCATCATCTGGTCACAGAATTTATCATTGAAAGAGTTCGGGAAAAGTCTGGTGACTGATGTCAAGCGATTCACAACGTTCAGGGTCAGACTCCGATAGTCTCCCAACATCATCAGCAATGGCCTCATGTGGGTGTGGATCTGATCAACTTCTATGGTGGCTCCTTCCAAGAACTGCAGGAGAGTACAGATTAAGATACAGATGGAGAGCGAAGTGACTTTTGAGCATCTTTCTGAAAATACATTCAGCTGACTTGATTCTTCTTTTATTTCATACTATCAGAATGCAACAGATTAACCAACAGTTATTGCTAGAAATAGATACAGTGACAAGACAGACAAGGTGACAAGATGAATTTGGGAAGCACTGAAGTTTTTCTGACACGTGGCAGGATATTCCATAAAAAAATCAAGTAGGAGATCTTAATTACAGAGTGAAAAGCTGCCATAGCTGTAAACTGGGGTTGGGACTAGATGATCTCTGAGGTTCATTCCAAACCCTTGACATACTACAACACTATGAAATACATAGCTATGGACAAGCTACTAAGACACTGCTTTATGAAGAACTAACTGCCTATGACTCTGGCAATAGAGCTAATTTTGTGTTACAATCCGAGTGCACCCTGAACAACATAAAAGGGCAAAAGAACTTCGTTGCAATCAGCCAGAGAGAGTATTTCCTGTAATAACCAAGCATCCTGTGAAGAGGAATTCATCACAGGACAAAAAGGATCAGAAAACTCTGCTGTATAGGTCAGAAAAACCCTTATTTGCTCCCTCTTACCTCTCAACCCAACTGTATTGTCAACAAGCCATAAATAATAGGCATGTTCCCTCTCTTGACCAGACCGACATGAAAAGACATCTGACCTGTGGTCATCAATGGCATAAACAATCCAAACCACCAGTGTTGCTGCAGCCACATCCCGTTACATGGCAGCCAACATACACATCATTATACAGAGGCTGGAAGTAATTTTATTAGCTGCTTTTTCATTTAGAAGAATAGTATTAAATCAGAATTAGGCACAGCAACTGCACAACAAACCATAAGGAGAGAATATCCTTTTCCCTGTCCTTCCAGCTGTTCCACACAACAACATAGCACCTACAAAACAGCCAGAGAAGTGTAACCCCATGCAAGATTTACCATTGCCCTTGTCCAAGAGTTTATGCTGCTTCATTTCAACCTGAACCATTTTCTATGGCTAAGTTCAAACCCTTTAAAACACGTATCTGACAGAACCTTTTATCAGTATCACTGAACAGAACAGACAACATTTCCTGTGGAGAACTTCCCCAAGAAGCTTTGTCCCAAGGAAGGAAAGCAGAAAGAACAGTAGCCTGAAAATGAATGTTGTTTGAATGCAGTCACCTTTCTCATGCAGGCTTCTCCTGCCTCTTGCAGCTCGTTATTGGTTGAATTCAGGGCCTTGAAGAGTGCAGCAATGATTTTCTCTCTTGACTGAGGCAGGTAATTGCAGGCCGCTAGAGCATCTGAAAATAGCAAAGTGAATTTGTGCCCTTTGTTATCTCAATTTCGAAAAGAGAGAGGAAAATAAACCTGAATTCTACACCACTTCTAGCTTCTTTTTATGTCACCAATGTAAAGCATTGGATGCACTGCCAAAAGCAACACGCATCAGGAAATAGGAAAAGAATGGGAAATCTAGTAGTGTTTTAAAGTTTTCCTAATACTATATAATTAACCTTAAAATACTATTATAATTACTGTATATATCATTGTATATATATTAGTAATATAGTTAAAATATTTTGGGGTCATTTCAGAAACTAAATTCTAGTAATTAAGAAAGCAGTGCTACTTTCCCATTATCCTCTCCATTAAACTGACTGTGACCTCTGGAGAGCACTCATCAGTCTTCAAAAGCTCAGCTTTCCTGCTCAGCTCTCCTGCTGAGTCTGCGCCTGCCTGGAGCTCACAAGGACGCTGAGCTACAACAAATTCTGGTTAGGAAGTTTTGCTTACTCAAGGCTGCAATTCGAAGAGGTACAAGTGATGGAAGGCTTTTATAACAAGGGAGTTTCATCAAAGCAGCATCTTCAGCCTCACACAAATTCAGTAACTAGGAAAAACAAACAATCATTTCAGCATTGTGATTCATGTTTCCAGGTTGGATGAAGGCTTGAGCAACCTGCTCTGGTGGGAGGTGTCCCTGCCCAGGGCAGGGGGTTGGCTCCATTCCAACCCCTTAACATGCTATGAGACTATGATGAGACATTTTCTCTAAGTTTGATCTACACATAGTTTTTATATTTAATTTTTCTCCAACTATTAGGGACTGAAAAACCTTAACAAGTAATATCTATGTTTTGGTAGCACAACAATTTATTCAATAGATATACTGCGTATAAAATATGACTTAAATATGAAACTCAGGGCTACTAAACGAGTACTGTAACACCAAAGCTCACATCATATATGAGGACATAAAAAGGACATGAAAAGAAAGTACCTCTGTGTAGAAAACCTTGTGCTCCACAACATTTAAATCCATCGTGAACAATCGTGGCTGCAGAGTGGTGCAAAATGTGTTTCCCTCCATCAGGCCAATCTGGGCATTTGCAGGTTGATGCCTAAGTAAATGCTTTTTAGGAGGAACCATGTCCTGGAGAACCTACATAAGGCAATTTAAATCACTGAGTTAGCAGTACTACAAAGACCCACTGAGAAGGCACCACTAGTAATGGCTGCACATGTCTATCCACTTGCTATTGTGGCTGCAGATTTATCTCTTTAGAAACCTTTAGATAAAGAGAAAAATTTCTGAAGTAATTTAATTTACAGTCAGTACATGAAACAATGCAGAATCTGTAAGTAATACATGTTCTCTGTGAACAGATCTGTGATATTTAATAACTTCACATAAGGTTATAAACAACAAAGAAATTCATACACTGAAGCTTTTAAAAGGTTCAAGTCAAGGAATATATCTATTTTAAGCTCAAAAAACATCAGAAAATAAAAAAGTTCTTTTTTCCATTACACCAACTTCTCACTCTGTTCCATCAACACCTTCTGCAGAGTAAGATATAAATTAAGGCCTTCTTTATATGTCCCCAAACTACAATAATGACCTCTATAATTTTGTGGTAGGCCTTAATGCTTATGTACATTCACTTGTCTTTCAAGGGGATGAATGTTATTAGTTTTAAAGAATATCTAGCAAAAGGTTATTTCAGCCAGCTTTGATCATTATAGTCTCTTTCTGGATAGAGAAAAGCACAGCAGTATGCCTCATGTTTGGAGACTGACACAAAATTGAGGTTCAAAATGTGGCCTAGCCTACGTGTGATTGGTGGTAGGATGAACAGTCCATAATTTAAGGAAGGAAACCAACCCAAAGACACTATAAATACTGGCTGAGAGTCAGGCATAGCCTGTAGGAATCTCTATACTCCTCCAACCACTGTATTTGAAAACAATGAAACAAACAACAAACATATGCTATCAAAGCACAAAGAACTCAATTCACTAATGTGGAAAAATGCACTCAGAAAAGCATTTCTGCACATTCAAACTAGAAAGCAACTTTAAACTCACTTTCAGTTAATATCTTACCTCTTTATGTGGCTCCATGATCACTGTGACACTCTTCCCCGTGACCTGTGCAAGCACCTGCAGTGAATGCATGGCTTGTTTCCTCACAGTGGAGTTTGGAGAGGTCACTTCTCGAACAAGGTCATGTGTTACATGATGGAAAGACTTTTCCTGTGCTGTCAGGATTTCTTCTGTCTTTTCTTCATCTTTTAAAGGAGTTGCACATCTAATCAAGAGCTGTTCTAGTGTGGTCTTGGCCATTGCCACTGCTCCATTGGAAACCTAAGGCAGCATAGACGATTTTTATTAACTAAGCACAGAGCAAAGATCACAAATCTACTCATCAACAAACTTAGAATTTGTTTTGATGAAGCCTCTGCAAATGGCTAAAACCAGATCAAACTTAAACACATATTCAACTAGCCTTCCCACCAGTCATCCCAAAACTCTGAGCTGCAGTGCAATACAACTGCCTAAATGATCTCAAGCACTGGGACCCTTCACAGTGCTGTCACCATGGGATTCACAACCAGCAATGGCCAATCAGATGATTCTCCAGGTATCTCTAAGTTTTCTGATAAGATGAACACCTCTCAAACTGAATGCAAAGAGAACAAAACTCCCAGTGTTTTTCATGCATATTTTTCAGGACAAGAGGAAATGTTCTCAAGTGCACCAGGTGAGGTCTAGATTGGATATGGGGAAAGAAATTTCTTCAAGGAAAGGGTGGTCAGACAACGGAACAGGCTGTCCAGAGAAATGTACAAAAATATGGCACTTGAAGACATGGTTCAATGGTGAAGATGGCAGCTATCAGTTAGCAGCCAGACTTGCTGATTCTGAGTTTCAGCTAAGCTTAATGATTCTATGCTGTGTGACAGTGGATCTGTGTTCTTTTGTTGATCTGCACTGCAGATCTTCTCCCTTCTGCTCCCAGAGAAGCACGTGTAAACTCAACAACACCAGCAAAGCTATGTGGAAAAACCTAACGTCATTCCTAACTTCAGGTCTTGGTTTAAGGTTAAATGACTAAAATTCATTCCTAACTCTGATGCATTTTTACGATCAGGAAAATCAAGATTAGCAAGAGTTGAACCTGTGTGAATTTCATAGAAAGTTAAGAGGCTGGAATAGAGCTGAGAGATCATCCTGTCCCAACCCCTGCCCTGGGCAGGGACCCCTTCCACCAGAGCAGGTTGCTCAAGGCTTAATCCAACCTGGCTGGGAACACTGCCAGGGTTGGGGCAGTCACAGCCTCCCTGGGCAGCCTGTGCCAGTGTCTCACCACCCACACAGGGAAAACTTCTGCCTAATATCTAATCTAAATTTCTCTCTTTCAATTTCTCCCCATTCCTCCTTGTCCTGTCACTGCAGCTTCTAACACAGAGTCCCTCTGTAGCTTTCCTGTAGGCCCTTCAGATCCTGGCAGGTTGTTACGAGGTTTAAGATGTTTTCCCCATACTATATAATTAATTCATGACATACCTCTCCAGTTAGATCCATCATAACAAAAAGAAGTGCCTTCAGGAAGGTCTGTTGGTTCTGGAGGACCCAAATGAGTGGCAGCCTTTCCATAAGGAATTTGATTGACACAACCCCTCCCAGTTTGGCATACCAAGCTTGTTCATAACAGCAAGCACATAAACGTTCCACGATGTACGAAAACAAGGGGAGTTGACAGGCCTGGAGACAAAGAAATTGATAAATTTGCTTTTTCCATCTCATTTTAGAGCAAAATTGCATTGTCTGAAACTAATTAAATACATTTAAAAACAACCTTACCCGTTCCTTTGAGCCCAAGATAATGCTGGCAACATCAAATATCACTGCCAGAGCCACCTCTCCTATCTTGCAGAGCTCCTTCTCCTCATAAGCCATGCAGATGGCTATGGCATCAATAAGCACCAAGGGATCCATCCCTTTTGACCCATTTTCCTCACTGTGAAACATGGCTGTGCTAGGCTGGCTCCCTACCTGATAGCACTGCAGCAAGAAAGGACCTGTCATTTGTAAAGGGGAAGAAAAGAGAGAAGGGGGAAATAAAGATAAAACAATGGATATTGCAATATGAATAGCCTTTTAATTAGGTTTTATTACTCCATGGACTAGCTGATGGCAAAAGCAGTAAAGCCTGGGCGTATTTGCATATAAATGGAGTGTAAGGCATTCTTCATTTTTAGAAGAAAAAAAGATTACATCTATTTGAATGTTTTCCTCTACGCAGTGCACACAGGTTTAATCAAAATGAAGAATCATAAAAATTCAAGTCCCGTTAATGTGACAATGAAGAGTGATATGGTTACAGCATGTCTATTCCCAAATTACTTGTCATACAGCCCAACTCCACACCAAAAGTTTTCTTCACAGGCATAACACACTGCAGTGGTCTAGTGTTCACCTAATTCCTCTACTGCTCCTTCAAATCCACAAGGGAAAACAACCCAATTAAAGCCTGTAACATGTTACACAAATGCTCTGGAACTATAACCTGCTCCAATTGGAAATTATTCCACAGGTTGTAGCATTTAAAAGTATTATGAAAGGACTGATTGTTTTACTTAGCAATTTTCACTGCTAACAAGAATTAAAACATAATTCAGCCATCAAACAAAAAAACCCAACAGAAGTAACTGCAATATTGTGACTCCCTTCTTAGTTCCTCTAAGCAGAGACTTCTCCAGCAGAGAGTTCTGTGGCTCCGGACTCACCACACTGCTGAGCCACTGCCACCATGGTGTAATGACGGATTAAACTGGCCACGAAGGGCAGAGCACTAGGCCTCAGATCCTTGATGACTGCTGACATGAAGGCTCCTGTCAGTGCCTGCTCAAAGGTTTTCCGAGCTGGAGTGTCCTGTGCTTTGTATCGGTGCGAAATGATCACACTGGGTATGGATTTCTCAGTAAAGCTGAAAGGCAACAAACATGGAGTGTGTTACAATCCGAACTGCAGCTCAAACACAAGTGTTGTCAAGGACTTGATTTCAAGTTTGCTCTTGATACCTAATTCCTTCTTTCCCCTCATTTTGGTAGAGCTAGACCAGTTCACTCAGTCCATACTCATTTTGTCAGCTGGTCTCAAACATGATGAGCAACATCAAACTTCATGAGCAACATTTCAAGGCAGTGGTTCAGAAATACAAATACACACCAATAACAGGTGTACAGGCATCACACTGCAACTCAATTACACAATGTCATTTGTATTTTGACATTTTCCCCCTCTTTTACCCAACAAAACCTATCCACTGCAAAGCTATTTTTATATCAAATCTAACAAGTGCAAATTGTGAAAGCTACTCTGCTCTTTAGTCGCACTGCAAGGCTTGAAGTCAGCAAACACTTTGTAGGCAATGTTGTCTAAAAGCAATAAAATCATTAAGTATCAAGGACTAAAACTGAAAAATATGTTTAAAAATTCAATTAAAAGGTCCCACACCAAGGCAAACATAGGTGTGTGACTATAGCTTGGTCACTGAAACTGAATTCTGTTTCTCTTTCTCTTTAGTTAAAGGTCAGACACACCTACAAAACATCAGTCTAAATTCATTTTTAAAGTACAATTAAGCACCAGAATATTCCAACTATTTAAACATATAAAATTCTATAAGACTCTATTATAAAATACATAATACTCTATAAAATTTCAGAAGAATAATTAGTCTGATCACAGGTAATAGATTATACATTGGACTGTGATTAGCAGAAGAAAATTCAACTCTGAAACACTAACATATGTCACTGGCAATAAATAATATGCAAAACAAAATTCCTTGTTATCAGTAGGTAAAAATCCCATTAATTGCACACACTGATCAGACTCTAAACTAGGCTGTTCTAAAGACACTATAAATCTTACATACACATTTATGTTTAAAGAATTGTCATACTTGGGATGTGCCAGAAGTTGGTACAGTGCATGTTTGTTATCATCCAGGCTCATCATAGCTACCAGGAAACACTTGATGACCTCCCACGCTTGCCTGCGGTAGTAGGGCTCAGTATTGGCACTCTTCAGGCAGTCCAGAGCAGTCTCAATGGCCTGGGATTGACAACACACAGTAACCAAACCCTTCTTGCTCTTAGCATTTATAATAAGGTCATAAATCAAGGAAATGGTATCATTAGTATGTATTAAAAGTAAGCTTTAAAGGATGCACAGTTTGGAGACAAGAAATAGAGAGTGCCAAGAGTGAGTTTGAAGCTATGACAGTGTTTGCTGTGCTTTTAGCTGGAGTCACCATGCCTGGAAGTGTTTAAGAGGGACCTGGATCTAGCACTGGAGGATATGGTTTAGGGGTTACAGCAGTGACAGATTAATGGTTGGACTCAATGATCTTAGAGGTCTCCTCCAACCTTGAGGATTCTATGACTCTACGTTTCCTGGCAGATACATTCACTTCCACAGGCAGAAAGCTAGAAGTGAGATACACCTTCACACTCTCTCTCTCTCTCTCTCTCTCTCTCTCTCTCTCTCTCTCTCTCTCCCACCTTCCCTCCAGCAACAAATCCTGCTGCTAATCCCTACATACTATATGTACACAATGTATTTGTACCCATATATAAATGGCACCAAAATTGCTCTATCTTAGAAATTCTTTCCTTTTCTTTTCCATGCATGATGAAATATCCCTGTAAGCAACTTCTAAACACCATTTACTTAATAGAAGAAGATCCAATACATTTCAAATTCAAAACAGGCTCTTCACATATGAAGATGATTACAAAGGTTATATCTGATAGGGAAATTTCTAGATAGATAGATAGATAGATAGATAGATAGCTAAAAGCAGAGCTATCTACTTTCTATCCTTCCTCCCCGAAAGACAGGAAGAAACTGAAAGCAAACGAAATGAGCATGAAGTAAAAAAACATGTAAAATTGTTCTGGAGTGTATGAAATAAGGAGTTTCAATACCTGATCAATGGCAAATAAAATCTAAGCATCCCTGCTTTAACAGGAACCGACAGACCTACCACATATTTTATGGAAGTTTTACAAGCAAACAAACTTTGAACAAACCTGTAACACAAGAAAATTGACTAAGTAGGTTCTCAGGACAGAAAGCAACTTCAGCCCGTACCTTTTCCATTGGGAGCTGAATGGATGCTTTACAGTCTGAAAACTCAATGGTAATACTGGGTCCTTGGATTTCTGTGACTACATACTGTAGTTTCTGGGATTCTTTTAACATCTTCCTGTTGCTGCCCCCAAACTTGCCCAGGACACGGTAAGCCACATGGGAGATGCTGTCTGCAGGATTGCGCAGGGTTCGCCACAGAGCCTAGGGGCACAGGCACAGAGTCACTGCCTCAGTACTCAAGGTAGAATGGCATAAAGTCAAGGAAAACACTTGTTCTTGTATCTGCATAACTCATCCTGCAGAAGTTCCATCACCAAGATTGAACAGAAGCAGTCTCAGTTCACAGAAGTTCAAGAGCTGTTGGCCAGAAAGGGCCTTGGCAGTGCTGGTGGCAGTGGCTCAGTGAGAGCCAACAGTGTGCATAGGTGGCCAAGAAGGCCAAGGGCATCTTGGCCTGGCTCAAGCAGAGTGTGGCAGCAGGACTAGGGCAGTGCTTATCCCCCTGGACTGGGCACTGGGGAGGTCACACCTCAGTGCTGTGCCCAGCTTTGACCTCACCAAAAAAAGGCCATTGAGGCACTGGAGCAAGTCCAGTCAAGGGCAATGAGGGCAGGAAAGGACTGGAGCACATGGGGAAGGGCTGAGGGAGTTCAGGGTGGTTAGCCTGCAGAAGAGGCTCAGGGGTGACCTCATGGCTCTCTACAACTCCCTGAGAGGGGCTTGGAGAGAGGTGGGGGATGGTCTCTCCTGCCATGGCTGCAGGGAGAGGACTAGAGGGAATGGCCTGGAGCTGAGACACGGCAGAGTCAGATGGGATGTTAGGAACAATTTCTCCCTGTTAGGCACTGGAATAGGGAATTGCCCAGGGAAGTGGTGGAATCACTAGCATGGAAGTGTTTAAGACGCGTATCGATCCGGCACTGGAGGATATCATTTAGGGTTTAGGGGTTACAGCAGTGACAGGTTAACAGTTAGACTTGATGGTCTTAGAGGTCTCCTCCAACCTTGAGGATTCTATGATTTCAAACACTGTTCTGAATTACAGTCACATCATCTTCACCTCATATCTAAGACTTTATGATATACTGAAAGCAATTAGCGTTCCTTGTAATTTTATTTTTAAATTACCCAATTTTAATCATTTTCTCATTACTCATTGCTCATTAAACATAGCAGTATTATTGCTCTTGAGTCCCAAGTCTTACCTTTAATCCTATAACAAAGGGACAATTCATTCACTTTTAAATTTGCAGTTTTCAGCTTAACAACACAGCACGAAGTGTTCTTTTATACAACCCGAACTGTCCTTTCAAACACACCCCAAACTGCTATGGCTCTCAGGACAGATTTGTCAAGTTTTTCTAACCAAAGCTTCACCCAAATTTCTAACAATATTTAGCAAATTAATGACTTCTTGTGGTCTAACAGCAAACCACACATTTACCTGCATCAGCTCAGCTCGAACGGGTTGGATATGATCGTACAGAAAGTCTGGCTGCAAGTTATCCACACACAACTCCAGAGTTCTCAGGCCTTGGCTAACCAGGGTCTGGGATCCATTGAGAGCTGACACCAGAGGATCCATCAGCATGGGCAGGTAAGGCAGCAGTGAGCTCAGACGAACAGGCACAGTGAGGCAGAGCTCCACAAACAAGTCTTTCATGTGCTGTTTATGAAGGCCACTTTGCAGCATATTGAGTCCTGGAAATCATGGAGAAGTTATACACTCACAGGAAAAAGTGTATTGTCAAAATTGCTATTTCCTAAATTTAGAACAACCTGACGTTCTTCAACCTTGTAGAGCTTATAGCTCTGTAAATAATAGTTTTACAGAGCATAATACCATTCATAATCCTAACTGACACCTAAGGATTTCATGCAGGGAATGCTTCTTGAGGTACATGCAAAGAGGAGAAGAGACTATCCCTGCATATTCTGAAGTGAAATACTAGACTCAATAAAGTAGCATTGGATGAAAACCAGAAAGATATAATTTGATTCCAACCTCAGCCTTGTAACAATAAAACAATCCCACACAGAGAAAATTGTGTTTAAAATGTTTGGAATCCTGAAAAGAAACATCTAATGAGTTCAAGTACATTCACTGTCCCATACAGACTAAACATATTCCCCAATTTATCTCTCCCCGGGAAGATTTCACGTATTCCATGAGCTTAACCACCTCTTCTGCACTGACATGTGTGTCACATCATCATTTATGGATAACATACACATTTGCTAAATACAATACAAACTGTCCCTAGAGCTGGAGATGGGAACAGGATTTTACAGCCCTGGAATAGTTCCCATCAGTTTCTCCTTAGGTTTAAGTAGTTCTCTACATCTTGTTCAGCCCCAGTCCCTCTGAACACACTTGTTGCAATCACAAACACTCAATTCAAACTGATGGTTATTTCCATTTCTTTTTGCAGACTGACACTACTTCCATTGCTATTCCTTATGCAGGTGCACACACATGGTCTAAACTGCACAAGCACCAGAGCTCCACTGCAATGTCAGGGCAATGAAGATGGTGAAGAGCCACATGAGAAGTGGCTGAGGCACTTGGTGCTTTCAGCCTGGAAAAGAGGAGGCTGAAGGGAGTCCTCATGGCTGTGTACAACTTCCTCATGGAAGGAAGTGCAGGGACAGCACTCACCTCTGCTCTCCAGTAACCAGTGACAGGACTTGAGGGAGTGGCCTGAAGTTGTGTCAGGGGAGAGTTAGGCTGGAGATTAGAAAACAGTTCTTCCCCCAGAGGGTGTTTGGGCACTGGAGCAGCTCCCCAGGGCAGTGGTCAAGGCCCCAAGCCTGACAGAGCTCAGGGAGTGTTTGGACAATGCTCTTAGGCACAGGGTGGATTGTTGGGGTGTCCTGCGCAGGAGTTGGAGTAGGTGATCCTCATGGGTCCTTTCTAACTCTGATTATTCTATGATCAGTGATTCTGTGAATGTTCTTCCCACAAAACCAGCAATGGTCTGTGAATTGTTTCTCTTACTCACTGACCCCTCAATGCTTTTGCTAACCAAGTAATCCATAGCAAAAAAACAAATCAAAGAAGCAAACAAGAAACCCCCAACAACGAAAAGCAGAAAACCAAGCAGCAGAAATTGTGAAGCAGCCAAAACTATGGAGCCTGAAGCAGCTGATAGCAAAGGATGGTAAGCCACATTGAAGATACCTAATCAACTGCTTACCTCAAAATCAGAAGCTACTTACCAATGTTAGAGCTTTAGTTTTGGTAGTGCTTTTTAATTGCAGAACGTAACTTAATTCCTACTATTTACATAAACAAATCAGCAGTTGGGGTGGGGAAAGAAAGTTTGTTCTACCTTGCAGTAAGTTTGGTAAGAGCGGCAGGAATTCTTGGTATAAGAGGTCGTGGCTGCCTCCTCCAATAGATCTGAACAATGCTCTGAGCAGCAGGAAATAGTTATAGGGCTCTTTGGCAGTCTGGGCAAGTTCCATAGAGCTGTTCACAATCTTGTGCAAATGTGGCTATAAAGACAATAAAGCTTGAGGATTAATAAAACACCAATTTTATCATCATTGTACTGTACGAGAGGTTTCACAGGAGATTTCGGAAGTCTGATAGAAGGGAAAATATTTGCTCTGGGATCAAACATCCCATCAACATCCCAATTTGGGGATTCATTGATCCCAACTGACAATTTGGCATTATGACACCTCTAATTTTTGAGTCTGAGGTGTCAAAATGACAAGAAAAGACAATTGACAATATCAATTTACTCCTGACAATACTCCTTTACTCCTGATCTAACTTCATCACTAGTTCTTCATTTTTGTGAACGCTCAAATTTCACTTGGAAATCAAAGTCTTCCAAGTAAAACAAGATTAGGGAAATGGTGGCTTTTCTAGACCAAAGGACATGAACATGAACAGGAATCATTAAAAACAGCTGATCAATATAGATCAGGGACAGTGACATGACTCTGGAAGTCATTAACATCTAAAAAGTTTCCTACATTGCTATGCAAATGATGCAAATAGCCTTCATCACTCAAGTAAATTGTCTACCCAAGGGCCTCTTCTCATCAATCCTGCAGAAACAAAACAGTAAGAGAAGCACCAAACCGTGAAGGGAGTAAGTTATTCTCTTTAAATTTCATCTCCAGCTTATAAAATCCAAATGCCCTTGATTTGACGCCAAACTACGAGAGTTTAAGCAAGACTATATTAATATTGCTTTATATTACTGCTACATTTCAAAGAACCTGGACAATTGGTAGTCACTACTCCGTTTTACACAGCTGCCTCTATCAGAGATTTGGATTGGTATAAGGTAGAAGAACGAAGAGAAATGATGAGAGAACTATCAGCATTCCATTAAAATCCTAACGTCTTCTCTAGCAGCTGTTGCTTTTATGGGCAAAGCCCCTTCTTGCTTCAAACTCAGCATTTCTAAATGCACTCATTAATGAGATGATCTCATGACCATAAACGCATCTTTGGAATACACAGACAACATGTAAATAGAAATAATAGCATTCCTTAACCTCAGACTTTTCAAGAGCATAGAAATATCTAACTCAAGAAGTCATTGAATATGACAGGAATGAACAAGATTCACCAACACACAGAAAAGAGATTTCAATCCAAGCAAAAGTCTTCTATTAATAGGGAAATAAAGGGGGAAAATATGCATATCCTAACCATAAAATTTCATGGGTTTATGGCAACCACAGATCACAATCACAGATCAGCCACTTAGACTCAGAATTAGTTTATCACTTCATGGTTTCAAATATGAAGCAAATATTGACAGAAACCACCTCTTCTAAGCAAGACATTTCGCTTGGCACTTGGGACAGCATTGAGATGTATTACAAACAGTGCTTCAAACATCAAATGACTCAAATGTGTGACAACACCTAACCCTTAAGTCTAATACATTCTGCTGATGCCTGAAGAGGAGTCAGAACAAACTTGTCTTGAACACAAATGACCTTTACCTTCAGCATTTGTTCATTTTCAGCTGCAAAGAGTGAAACTGAGCCAAAGACTAACTTGAAAAGCTTGAGATACAGATTGGAGAGTTCCACATTAGAGCCCATTTCTGGCAGCCTATCCAGGAGATACTCCACCAAAATGGTTGCGAAGAGGGCAGAGGTAGTAGGGTTTGCCAAGAAGGAATTGGCAACAATCTAGAAAAGGAAAGCACAAAGGAGTTACTGCTGTTGTAATGAAAAGAACCAAAGGATAAATGCACTACCCATTAAAGAAAACCCAAACCAACTAAAACCTAAGACATTTCTTTCCCCATCTTCAGTGATTTGGGTTATCCTCAGTGGAAAACAACCATGCAACTTAATGTTCAAGCATAAGCTTAATTTTAAATGGATATTATAGGATTTGCCTTCTGCAAATGGCAGAACATTAACAAAACAACAACCCCACAACAGTCTATACTTTTCAAGCATAAAGTCCATTCATATCCTCTAAACTGTTCATGTTTGTATTGCACCACTTAGTCTTGAAAGTTAATTTGAAAACCCATTTTTACGTTGTTTACAGGCTACTTTTTATCTAGCTTCAAATCTTGCATGCTAACTGCAACATCATTATTTACAACTCCACTTCTAAGCCATTTCCTACAAGCTGCTTATTATGAATTGAAAAAAAGCAAACAAAACCAAACCTGAAGGGCATAGTTCTTTGAGATTCTCTCCACCATGTAAGGAACAGTAGTCTGAAAGATTTCTTTGAAAGTCAAAGGGTTCATCATTGTGAACACACCAGCAAAATGCTCAAGAACTTCCTTCTCCTCTTTCATCCTGACTGTCTGGCAGTTCGCTACTCGGACATATGTCTGCCCGTTTCCTGCTATTTGGACCTACACAGAGCAGATGAGAACACACAGATACTGGTTGCAGAATCTGAGCAACTCTTTTCCCATTATTCTTTAAAACCCTGCTGAAAACAACTGACATTTTCTAGGTTTCCCATGCAACTCCATAAGAGTAGATGTTGGGCACAAGAGCCAATAGCGACAAGAAAAGCATTAAAATAGCATTCGCAGTACAGATTTTAATACTATAAAGTTAGGAGTGGAAAGACAACAGCAGGAGATATCATAGTGTACTTGTAAAGTGACTTAATACTAAATCACATCCGTTTACATATCAAGAGTAACCACAGAAGATAAACAGACATGTCAATGCTTCAACTGAGACATAAACTCTCTCTTTCAAGAAAGATTTAACCCACTACATGAAAGACAATTAGTTTCAGTCTGACCTACATGAACAATAATGGCTATTAAGAATATAATCTGCTCCCTGCAATTGCTAAGTACTTTGAAATTTACTTTTGCCAAAGTACTTTGAAATTTACTTTTCAAAAGTTGTATCAAACTTTTGAAAAGTTTGATACAACTTTTACTTGAAATTCATTCTTCATACTGAGAATTTCTCAATAGCTAATTAAATATTTAATGCAAATACACTACATGTGGAATTTGTGTTTCATCTGACAAATAGACCCTTAGTGAAAGACCTGACTGTATAAATGTAACATATTTATAGCTATATAACTGTATAAACAGAAGTGCAATGACAGCATGTTCCATACCTGATAAATATCCAAAGCTTGCATTGCATATTTTACCAGTTTTATATAGATTTGAGTCTCCTTAGGTTGCAGCTGCTTGTTGGGAATGAATTGTGCTTCTGAAAGAAGACAGTAGTTAACCATTAAAAATCCTCTTTGCTTTCATGCTGGAAGGTTTCAATTGCAGAATTATAGAAGATAAATATTATGCAGTTTTACCCCCAGGAGCTTTGCATGATGTTATTCCCCACGTGATGGTCTTGACACCACACACCAAAGTCTTCACTAAGCTGCGACAATCTGTGACCTGAAAGGTTTGTTTATCGTCTTTTTCCTTCTCCCCTTGTTTCTCAAACACAGACATTGGTATAGGGGCTATGGGAGTGGCTGGGGCAGGGGATGGAACAGGAACAGGAGCTGCATTAGCTGCTGAGGGCACTCCAGGCAATGCTGCTTCAGCGGCTCCGAGCTCAGACTGGGGTTTGCACTTCTTGAAGATGACAGAGAGCTGATACCTTGCTATGGTGTGGAATTTCAGCACAAAAACCTAAGGCACAAAGAGGAAAGGCAAAGCAAAAAAAAAGCAGGGAGGGGGGAAAGAAAAAGAAAGTAAGTTTCTTCTTCAAAAACCACTCGCAATTTCCTAATACTAAGCCATCAAATCTCTGCTCTGTAGCCAGGCTGAGAGCTGGAGGTGTCCAGTATGGAGAGGAGAAAGCTCCAGGGAGACCTTGGGGCCCCTTCCAGTGCTTAAAGGGGCTCCAAGAGGGCTGGAGAGGGACTTTGGGCAAAGCATGGAGTGGCAGGACAAGGGGGAATGGCCTCCCACTGCCAGAGAGCAGGGTTAGATTGGATAATGGGAAGGAATTCCTCCCTGTGAGGGTGCTGAGGCACTGGCACAGGTTGCACAGAGAAGCTGTGGCTGCTCCATCCCTGGGAGTGTTCAAGAACATGTTGGGCAGGGCATGGAGCAACCTGGGCTAGGGGAAGGTGTCTCTGCCCATGGCAGTGGGTGGGACTGGATGAACTTTAAGGTCCTTCCAACCCAAATCACTCTGATTCTAAGATGAGACAAATCTGCATATTGAGACTAATAACATTTACAGCTGTTTCTGAAGTCATTCAATTACATCAAATATCTCTGAACAAAGTACTTTGCTTACTTTAAACAATCAGTCACCCCTGGTTACCTTTTTTTAAGAAAAAGTCCCTCAAAATCCTCAAAATAAAGAAGATCCTTAAAAAGACTCAACCGGCTTCAAAGTGCAGATATTTCAGTTTACAGGCTGTATTGTGCTGTGCCAAAGACCAGAGAGAAAATCCTCTCTCAAGGTTAAAGACATAAAAACACACCCAGAAGGCATTAAAAAAACAACATTCTTACATACTCTTCAGCAGGGAAAAAAAGATTACAACTAAAACGTAAAGTAAAACAATAAAAAGCCACCCCAGGAGTTAAGCTACCCCAGAAGATGTATTGTTTCCTGCTTTGAAACAAGTCACTGAATGAAGCTGAGGGGACGAAGCATCTCTACGCTAGTTGAGATCATCTTACTCGAATAAGATCTGAGGTGCAGAGCATCTTCAAAAGCCTTTCCCTAAAGCACTAAAATGCAATACAGCACACGGGATGTTCCTACATATTCTCAGCCCTTAAGGAGAAAGTAAAATGTGATTGACAATACACTATAAAACAGGATATCTAGCTTATTACCAAGTGCTTTAAACCAATCAATACCTCCAGCATTCTCATAAGAATATCCCTCCCGTTGCCATTCTCCTGTTCACTTTTAGACCTGATACAGTCCACCAAATTCAGCAAGAGCTGCACAGCAAGGGAGAGGTCATTGAGGGGCAGATGCTGCCGGACAGGACATGGATACTGCTAGGCAAGGACTCATCATCAATGTTCTTGGCAAAGAGCTGCACAGCAAGGGAGAGGTCATTGAGGGGCAGATGCTGCCGGACATGGTGCACCAGGTCTGCCAGAGTGCTGTATGCAAGGGGCCTACAGGAGAAACAACAGAACACACTGAGAACAAGTGAAACTGTTGTTAATTGGACTTAAATCATCACTGCCTACTGCTAGGCAAGGACTCATCATCAATGTTCTTGGCAAAGAGCTGCACAGCAAGGGAGAGGTCATTGAGGGGCAGATGCTGCCGGACATGGTGCACCAGGTCTGCCAGAGTGCTGTATGCAAGGGGCCTACAGGAGAAACAACAGAACACACTGAGAACAAGTGAAACTGTTGTTAATTGGACTTAAATCATCACTGCCTGGAGCTCCTTCCAAATTTCTAAGTGCAAATCATCTATTTTCACATGCAAACCCAGAGCTCACAAGGCTTTAGCAGTTACACAAGAGAATGATAACCAAAGATGCATCAATCTGCCCCACAACACTGGTGTCACCTCTCTGATCTCTCTTCCCCCACTGCAGACACCCGATATTTTCATCTCCATACAGTTAATAGCAAGCTCTAAGCCACATTTTGAGCAGTGTTGGTAATCTGTCACAATTAATACCAGGTTAAGCATCTAGTAGAGCAAATACTTCTACATCTAATACATGTTGTCAATAAGGTATATTTGATATTAAGTAAGAGGAAATTCTCCTGGTTCACACACTAATTTGGTCAGCAAGATCCTAAACCTAAAAACTAGACTACTGAAGACACAGAAAACAAGTACTATCACCATGTATTTTTTCAATTGCAAGTAAGTTTCAAGGTCCTCATTCACAAAACAGTTTAAATTTCATTCAGATTTTACCCTGGACATAAGATTTAGGGTGTTTCCTGAACTATTAGGCAGATACTGAGTTGATTTCACTGTGCCCACTGTTTTGATGGTGCATTTATCCCCTTTTGCCCCACACTCACATTGCCATCAAAGTGTTAAACAACAGCCACTCTGTACAGCAGCAGAAGCTCTGCAATAAAACCAGCTAATAAAATGAGTTATTTGAAGCAAAGATAGACAGGCATTGCTTAATAACCCTGAAGGTAACCAGCTCTGGAAGGCTAAATTTTGTCATACCTCAGTGTCTCTCGAGCAGTGTATCCAGAGCCAATCAGTATAGATTCATCAAACAGTTTGTCCATACATGGAATAAATTCTGTCATTGAAAACAGAGAGAAAGAAATAAAACAGCTCTACATAATGATTAGCAAAAGAAAAAAACAAAATAGGATAGTGAAGCATTAAACCATTTAATTTAGGTGTTTAAATCTAAGTCAGAAAGCGGTTTGATTCCAAAATTCATCCGTGAAGCTTAGTAAATTGTCATTTACAAGGGAACTTCAATCAACCTCTTGTGGCTATTAACTCCACTGACACTTGCCCCTTGAGTAACTCTGCAATACACAAAGCCACAGCATTGACACCCCAAAACCAGTGACATTTAGAAAGGAAAAAAAAAAAGCTCACTTTTTCAGCTTTGCAGAACTTTTTACATGTAATAAATCAGTAACTTCCACTCAGGTTAAGAAATTAGTAATACAAAGTATCAACACAACTGTAGGCACAACTACAAACCACCACCGATTTTTAGCATCACATGGAAATTACTTGGAACAATAGATCCTTGGCAAGCTGGAGGAGCTACTTGTTCAGTACGGAATTCTCCAGGTTAGAATCACAGAATTAGATACTATAGACTCTTTTATTCATAGATTATTTTCTTTTTTAAGGAAAAAGGAAAAATGCAGAACAAAAATCACCCCCACTCCCGAAATAATCAGGTGTAACAGTACAAATGAGCAATAAAGACAGAGAACTAGCTGAACTCTTCCCAGTGCATAGGAACACTTCTCAAGGTGCTACTCACGGCTCCTCAGGTCTGTTGTCAGGATGTGCTTAGCAGCAATGAGCAGCTCCTTCCTGAGATGTGCTGTTTCAGCTGGACAATTGGAGAGCAACTGCAACATTCCCTTGACCATTTGCTGAGAATACTTGGCTACTAATTCCTACAACAGCAAAAAATAACATGAACACAACTAATGTGACATTCTGTTCTCAAGGTTTGCTTTGTATCTGCAAAATACCATTAAAATTCACTAGTTTCTCTTTAGAAAGTCTATTTCTAAAAGGAAAATACAATAAATGCCCAGGGGAATGGCACATTTTTGCTTTCCCTCCATATGAGGATACTTCTGAAAGGACAATCAAGTAGAACTGCTCCTCACTCCAGTCCCTGATGCACTGCAGTCCTGCTGGTCACTTGCTTGCCATAAGGCAACTAGGAATCTGTTGAATTAAGTAATAAAATTGCATCTTACCTGGTAAATTCTGATGATATAAGCCAAAAAAGACAATGTTTTAATCTGAGCAGCAATAAAATCAGCATACAGCTCCTTGTTATACAGTTTATGTTGTCTGAAATGAAATTGAACACTAGTTAGGATTTTGTTTCTCCTCTTCAATATCTTCACTCAGAAAACGCACCAAAGGTTCAGATCACATCTTCCTGTAGTGAGGTTCCTTATGGCTGAGGGAGTTTGGTTTGGTTAGCCTGGAGAAGAGGCTCAGGGGTGACCTCATGGCTCCCTCCAACTCCCTGACAGGGGCTGGAGAGAGGTGGGGGATGTCCCTCCTGCCATGGCTGCAGGGAGAGGACTAGAGGGAACGGCCTGAGCTGAGACAGGGCAGAGTCAGATTGGATGTTAGGAACAATTTCTTCCCTGTTAGGGTGTTCAGGCACTGGGATATTGCCCATGGAGGTGGTGGAGTCACCGTCCCTCCAGCTATTTATGAGGCATCTGGATCTAGCACTGGAGGATATGGTGTAGGGGTAACAGTAGCAACAGGTTAATGGTCAGACTTGATGCTTTTCAGAGGTCTCCTCCAGCCCTGAGGATTCTCTGATTGTATTCAAACTCCCAGCAGCACCTTATGCTCTGAGCAGAGCTGCACAGCCCAGAGGTCATCACACAATTCCCAGCTCTCTCCAGAAAGCCAAAACAAGACATCAGCATCAAGTATTTGCCTCCATTTCCTAACTGGGGCCATTTTTCTTCTCCAGGCAACACTCCCCCCACAGGCTTGTCTGTCTCTCTCAAGCTTCAACCACTGATTTAGATCATCATCTAGCTACTGATTCCTACAGCAAACAAATAACATGAATACAACTATTATGACATTCTGCTCTAAGGGCAAACAGGGAAAGAAGGAGATGTTGCTCCCACTGCTCTGCTTCACAACACTTGCTGCTGCTGAGGCAGGAAAAGCAGTGCCTGTATCTGCAACATCACAAGGATTCACCTAACTTTCATCCTGGAAGACCAAAAATATATTCTTAGTGAAGATTAAACTCCAGCAAGTGTCCTAACTCCCATGGGATCATCACTCACTGTGGCAATATGGATTGTGGTCACAAACTCTATTTAGAAAAACACATTATCAAATAATAAATTGGGATCTACTGCACAACTGTGGATTTTATCAGTGATATACAATGGGAATATTAATTTATTTCTAATGAATATTCATATTAGCTGTTACTTCATCTACAGAACCTTGCCAATTTTTAGACAAATGATTGTTACTACTTTTGAGATCCAAAGCAGCAAGACTAGAAGCAAAAATCACTAACATATAAGTCAAAAATAGTTTGGGTAATACTGAATGGCAAATATAAGCAGTTTATCCCAAATACCATCAAAATATTGTTACAATGCTCTTACCTTGCTTGAGCAGAAACCTGGATTATAATAGTGTTCATAATCAAGGGCACAAACTCAGCTACTACATTATGAATGTTCAGCTTATAGAGCTTAAAAGGAAATATAAAGTATTATTAGAGAAATTTACACGTCACACTTGTAAATTGTAAATAAGCTCTCAACCTACTTGAGAGCTAGTCAAAAAACAGACATCTCAGCAGTTTATTTTTAGACCATATTTTAGTACCAAAAATAATTACATTCATTTTTATTAATACATTAGCAGAAGTTACACAAGTGTTAAGTAACAGAAAGTATTTCCGTGCAAAATACTGGAGAATACTCACCTGATACATGAGAACAACAATAATTGGTAGCTCAGCCAAGACCTTTAGGGATAAAGATCCTCTGGGAATTATAGAATGCTGAAAAAAAGAATATAAGCTTTATAAACAGCTTAATTACTAATTCCAAGATGTATTTGAAATAGTTTTACATAAGCTGCTCATTTTAATAGCACTACACTTAGCAACAATAGCATTTAAAAGGACAACACCAATTGGCATTAAATTTAATAAAAGTTCTGTCATTACAGCTACATAGAAAATCACTGAAAAGTCTCAATCAGCCTGTACAGAGACATTTTGATATGAAAGCAAGCAGAAAAAGTCTCATCTTGCGATTTGTGGCCTTGTGACACAGGCAGTGCTGTGGTTAAGAAGCAGTTGAAATACTCACTGTTCTTGTCTCACTGTCTTCTCGCTCAGGGTTCACCTTCACCACAATGGTTGTGATCATTCCAACCATCTCAGGAGTGGGAACAGTGTTCTCTGGAATCACCTGAGGATTCTCAAAGTATCGATTCTACAAGCAGAGAGCAGCAGAAACGTATTATCCTCCTAGTAATAGTCAAAGGCCATTGATGTCCTTAGGTCTCCATATTATTTTGCCCCACGAGTTTTTCTTCTCTGCATGTGATGGTCCTGCAGCACCTGCCAGGGCCAGACACATCTGTCCCACTACTCAAGAAGCAGAAAATCAGCCCCAGCCCAGAGGCTTCTTTTGCCAAACACAAATATGCCAAGAGTTACTCTGCATCAGAGAGGAAGGTCAGGCAAGATCTCCAGAGTCTCGTTCTTCCCTCACCAACAGCCACCTTAGGCTCCATGGACACCATGGCAGCCAACTGACCTCAGTTTGCTCTTACTAGTAATAATGCCTTGCAAGCAGGTCTTCCAGATCAAAATCTACATGTCTCCATTTTTAAACATATTTTTGATAAGTATATTCACTATATCCACATACTATAAATTAATATAATTTGTGTAAACATATTATGTATCAATATATTATATATTGCATTACATATTTCAATCTGCTATTTTATTACAATATGTATTTATAACAGAAAAATAGAAAAAGGTTTTCCAAATCAAAATCTAAATGTCCATTTTCAGACATGTTTTTGATAAATATATTCTCTATATTCACTTAGCATAAACACATAACCTAATCTAATCTATATTACTCTATTTTATGCATTAACATAGATTATATACTGTATTATACACAAATTATAATATTCCATATTACTATTCACTTAGTATATTTACTATAATCTGCATTAATATATTTAATATTATCACATAGTAGTATATTACATATTGTATCACACAGAAGATAATTTTATACATTTAATCATATATTAACACATATTACATATTACACATTATTTTACCTATTTATTGCAGATAAATATATTCACTGTATTTCCTTAGTCTCACTAGATACAAAAGTAGTTGTGTCAATATCTCCTAGAGATAAATCAAGAAATAAAAGCTGTTTTCCTGACTGCAGCAGAGATAGTTTGAAAGACAAAAAGCTCACCACAACTTTGGGAAGTTCCTTGTAAATCTGCTTCACAAAGTCCAAAAAATGATGGATCTAGGAAGGAAGGAGTTGGTTTGGCATAAAAAATCTGTTAAAAAATGCCATGGCAGAAGTTCTACAGCACAGGAGAAGGTTTAGGACCTACTTCTTGAGTGATTGCAGGGCGGAACTGTTTGTGCAACTCAATGATAATTCTTAAGCAAATCAGAACATTTTCTTCATTCTCTGTCTGAAAAAATGAAAGATAATCTTTTGTGAGTATTGCTGAATCCTTCAACTACTCCACAAGTACTTCAAAACCCTTTAACTGACACCCAACAATGAAGAACACCCCATTAAATGGATTTGCATGAGCATATGCCTTTCCTTGAATAAAACTTTATAGTCCTAAAGTATGGCTAAAATTAAATCCAATCCCAGAACACAAACCACAAGTTTCAACCACTTTGTACCATTAGAGCTGTTGCTACTGCCCCTCAGAGAGACCCACATGGGGCTAGTTAGACACTGAGACACCTCCATGTAGAGCATTCAAACAAGTGGTTTCAATTCAAGCAAGAAAACACTCTTGAATAAGGATCTGCCAGAAAAGTGCTCATGCCTGAAATCTCTCCTGCATTTATAAAATCCAAGTTTCTAAAGAGCAGAACAGAACCTGCAGAAGAGCTACAGGTAAAGAGATCCCATGGGTAAAGCCTGCGGAGAGGCCCTTCCACTGTTGCTCCAGCACCACAGCTATTTTCCATCCTACCCCCAGCAAACTTTGGGGGTGAATAAAGGACAGGGAAATATTTCTGAAAACCTGAAACATTTTTCAGAGGAGAAAAAAAAATACCTCAAGAAACCTAAACATGACCGACAAGATGTTTTTGGTGTGAAGACGAAGGTGTTCATTGGTTGGAATTCTGTGGATTATCTCCAGCACAAGTTTTCGGAGTTGCTGTGAAATAAAAGGTAAAATAAAGACACGCCAGAACTTTTTTACAAGTCCACAAAACCCAACAACTGGTTGCAACATCTTTTTCAGCTTAATACTTCTGCCTAAGTAGAAAGAAGCCATTTTATTTCATGTAGACATAGGTTTACAGACAAACACCGAATGCTTCCACTATGCACATATAAGGCAAATTTACCACGTTTACAGTTGAAAAATGCAAGTTATCAGACATTTTTAAGTATTTAATGACAGAGATTCAACTTTTGCCTTCCATTCCTACCCTTCAGGTCAGTCATTTGGAACCACGGGTAGTATTGCAGCAACAAAGCCATTTCTGTGGCACCTGATTTTCCCTCATATTCCCTAGAACCTCAATTTGCAAAGGTTATAAGGAACTTATTTAACTACTGGACTTTTCAATTTCACCTGAAACGACAGCTCTATTTATAACAACGTTCTAGACATAAATCAACTCATTAGGTCAATCAAGAACTTCACTGCAGAAAGATGCTGCACACAGATTACCTGTGCTGGTTTCTCCTGCAGGAACTGAACTTCTCCATCCTGGAGAAAGGTGAGAAAACGAGGGATGATGTGTTCCAGGAATGTAGAGTATTGTGGGGATGATGTTACATTCTAATTCAGAACGAAAAACACAACAGACACTCCACAGGTTATATTTAGCTACATTCTAAAGCCACTGTTAAACATTTTCAGTGCATTTTTAATAGACATACTTTTATTTAAATGCTCACTGAATAAAGATTCGGGAATGAAATCAAGCCAAGTCCAAATGTAATTAATTCTTCAACAACCTAATTCATAAATACAGACCTCAAAATCAATCACCTGTAACTGCATATATCAGAGGTCACAAGATACTAATACTAATGTTCTAATCACATAGCATTAAGAATCAAACCAACACATATTAAGCACAAGGAAGACTGACACTGCAGGAATTTTTGGGGTTTGGTTGGGGTTTTGATCTGTTCATTTACCTCAAAATTCTCACTGACTTCTTGCATCATTTTCAATTTGGTTTCATCAGCTGAAAATGTAAAATCAAGCAAAAAAACATGTAAATGTCAAAGCAGATCATGAAGGCAAACACCAGGTCATTGATCAAGGAAGCAATCAGATCTTATCAGTTTAGCTATCATCACCCAGTTACAAGGCACACAATCCTCTCAAACAACCCTCACATAACTGCACACACACACAGCTCACACACTTGGGCTCAAGCAACTATTGCTCATCACTTTGCTTCTTCAAAGATCAAAACTCAAAATTCAGAGTGACCCCCACAGACATTTATCAACTGTCTAAACAACACAGCAACATTTGGGAAACAAACTACTGAAGAACTGTGATTTTAATATGAAAAAGCCTCTTACGTGTGTTGACATCTGTAAGAGCAGCCACAAACTGAAGGTATTTCTTCATCAGAGTGGTTTGGTCCACCACCGTGGGCCCTTGAGCTGAAACAAATGCCATCTTGGAGGAGGAGAGATCAGCTTTCAGTGCATAAAGTCAAGAGCAACACACCTACAGAAGAATGAAGAGGTGTTTGTTAGTTTATATGGCTGGTTAACAGCAGCTATCACATCACCTCTATCCCTTCTTCTGAGGTATCAGAGAGGAACACCTGTTCCAAACTCCACATTTACCCAGGCCTAATACAGCACTATCACAGGAATGCACCGATAGACAGAAGCGATTATTGGGCTCTTCACACCACACGGCAAACATTCATGTGTTTGGTTTCATCTCTCCCAGCAGCAGGCTCCAGGCTCAGGGATGCGCCTGACATCCGTTATCCTGTCTTCCCACCCAGTCACATCCCAAACTTCAGCTACCTTTGGACACACTCTTGTGGGACTCACTCCCAAAGGGGCCAGAAGTTGTCACCATGAGCTGCCTTATACAGAAACCTAAGAGCACATTCAGCTTCAGAGACATAAGGACATGGAACTGTTGGAGCAAGTCCAGAGAAGGCCACAAAACTGATCAGAGGACTGGAGAATCATCTGCCCTGTGGAGAACGTTGGGGCTGTTCAGCCTGGAGAAGGTTGTGTGGAGGCCTCAGAGCAACCTGCCAGGAGCTGAAGGAGCTCCAGGGAAGCTGCACAGGGACTCTGTGTTAGGAGCTGCAGTGACAGGACAAGGAGTAATGGGGAGAAATTGAAAGAATGAAATTTAGATTAGAGAGTAAAATGGAGAGAACCTGGGGTGACAGGACAACACGTAAAGGATTCAAACTGAAACAAAGTAGGTGTATATTAGATATTAGGAAGAAATCCTTCCCTGTGAGGGTGGTGAGACACTGGCACAGCTTGCCCGGGAGGCTGTGGCTGCCCCAGCCCTGGCAGTGTTTACAGCCAGGTTGGCTAAAGCCTTGAGCAACCTGCTCTGGTGGGAGGTGTCCCTGCCCAAGGCAGGGGGTTGGGGCTGGATGATCTCTAAGCTCCATTCCAACCCCTTAACACACACACTATGAAATTCCTAGGACACCAGCGACCTCCCTCCTCCCCTCGACGCTTTTTTGCCAGCTCCTCTCACTCCGAGCCTTCCCGCAGGGCTGCGGATGCTCCTCCAACCCCACACCTGTTCCCCCGCGGCTGCTTCAACGCATCCCTCACCTTC